AGTGGAATCTCGGCAAAGGCTATGAAGCCTACGACTACGAAGTCGATCTAAACAACTACGAAGTTGTATGCCTCGAGTGGAATCTCGGCAAAGGCTACGAAGCTTACGACTACGAAGTCGATGTAAACAACTACGAAGTTGTATGCCTCGAGTGGAATCTCGGCAAAGGATACGAAGCTTACGACTACGAAGTCAATCTAAACAACTACGAAGTTGTATGCCTCGAGTGGAATCTCGGAAAGGCTGCGAAGCCTACTACTACGAAGTCGATCTAAACAACTACGAAGTTGTATGCCTCAAGTGGAATCTCGGCAAAGGCTGCGAAGCCTACGACTACGAAGTCGATCTAAACAACTACGAAGTTGTATGCCTCAAGTGGAATCTCGGCAAAGGCTACGAAGCCTACGACTGCGAAGTCGATCTAAACAACTAAGAAGTTGTATGCCTCGAGTGGAATCTGGGCAAAGGCTACGAAGCCTACGACTACGAAGTCGATCTAAACAACTACGAAGTTGTATGCCTCGAGTAGAATCTCGGCAAAGGCTACGAAGCCTATGACTATGAAGTAGATCTAAACAACTATGAAGTTGTATGCCTCGAGTGGAATCTCGGCAAAGGCTACGAAGCTTACGACTACGAAGTCGACCTACACAACTACGAAGTTGTGAATTTCGAGTGGAATCTCGAAAAAAGGCTACGATCTCACGACTGCGAAGTCGACCTACACAACTACGAAGTTGTGATTTTCGAGATGATAAAGGCCTCCGGGTTGGGTGGTTCACCATGATTCAAACTCGTCGAACGAACATGGTCGTATGTGTTGACCACCCCTCCGAGGGTGGGCATGCGTTCAAAGAATAACCCGTCGAACGAAGATGGTCGTATGTGTCGACCACCCTTCCGAGGGGGGGCATGCGTGCAAACATAGATGATCGATTGTTATCATAGTGTTGTTTTTCGACCTCAGTGGAAGGCCCAATGTATCGATTACGGCTCGAGCAGGTTGATGTTGATTTTTGCTTGATTTTATCGAAATTGTTTTTCGACCTCGGTGGAAGGCCCAGTGTATCGATTACGGCTCGAGCAGGTTGATGTTGATTTTTGCTTGATTTTATCGAAATTGTATTTCAACCTCGGTGGAAGGTCGAGTATATTCATTATTGCTCGAGCAGGTTGATGTTGATTCTTGCTTAATTTTATCGAAATTGTATTTCGACCTCGGTGGAAGGTCGAGTATATTCATTATCGTTCGAGCAGGTTGATGTTGATTCTTGCTTGATTTTATCGAAATTGTATTTTGACCTCGGTGGAAGGTCGAGTATATTCATTATCGCTCGAGCATGTTGATTGTGTTTTATCTGATTATGCTTCTGTCGAATTGATTTTTCGACTCCAAAGGCAGGGAGATGGGATTCATTGCGGCTCAAGCAGGTCGATCGCATTTCATGTTGATTATGAGTCCGTCAAATTTTTCGACCTCAGTGGCGGGTCGAGTATGTTTTTATTGCTCGAGCAGGTTGGTGATTGATTTATTTTTCAAAGGAATATACAACAGGCTTGAATTTTAAACTTTGAATTGAGGGCGATAGGACGAGGTGGTATAAGGGAACTCGAACATGGTGATCGAAACACAACAGACGTAAATTCAAACTTTTAAATTCAAGACTTCGGTCAGCGGTCTCGACTCTCGGTTTTCGACCTCAACGGTCTCACTCTTGGTTTTTGACCTCAACGGTCTCACTCTCAGTTTTCGACCTCAACGGTCTCGACTCTCGGTTTTCGACCTCAACGGTTTTAACTCTCGGTTTTCGACCTCAGCGGTCTCGACAATGGTCTCGACTCTCGATTCTCGACCTCAACGGTCTCGACTCTCGGTTTTCGACCTCAACGGTCTCTAATCTCGGCTTTCAACCTCATTGACGATTACTCGATTTGTGGTTTTCGACCTCAGTGGTCTCTCGAATCTCGTCTTTCAATCTCATTAACGATTACTCGATTTTTGGTTTTCGACGTCAGCAGTCTCTCGAATCTCGGCTTCCGGTGCTTGACCCCAGTGGCGGGTCACTTAACTTTTGACTTCTACAACCATTCGGTTTTCAGTGTTTGACTCCAGCGGCGAGTTGTTCTACTTCACTCTTGGATCGAGTTATGCTCACTCGACCAGAGTGGGGGGGACTAGATGATATAGCCACAGCTAGTACTGCCGGCTCGACCGAAAGTATCTGATATAACATGTCATACCCGATCAGTTTTTATGGATATATATTGAAGAATACGCCCATAAATGGGCTAAGACACTTGATATGATAATACAGGCCAAGCCCAATTTAGGCCAAGCCCAATTTGGACTATAAGGTACACTCCCCCTATAAAAGGGGGCTAAGGTACTCATTTCCTACATTCTCTACTCATTCCCTTACTACACTTCCTCTCTCTACACACTCTCTCTCTATATGCATGAATCCAGTATTGACTTAAGCATCGGAGGCCCAAAGCCGGGCACCCCTCCCGGGGTCCGGGCTTTGGGTTCTTGCAGGTACGGTGGCCGTCCGAGTCGAGGGAGCCCGGGTGACATCTTTGTCCCATCACCTTGTTTAGTAAAAAAAATGAAAGGGAAAGAAAAATAATGTTAAAATGACAAATATATCCTTAACGATGTTATAAAATAAGAGTAATACTGTCATTATAAGTATTAAAATTTTCTCTCCCTTCCAAATTCTCCCATTTTGGAGGGGAGCAAAAATGGGGAGGGATGGGTTTTTAGTTAAATTTTGGGAAATGCTACGGTTCCGTTACGGTACCAGCCCGTTGGAAGTTTTAACCGTTGAATCATCTATTTTATTTAACTGCACGTGGACCTATTGGTTAAAACACCAGACGAGATAGTACCGTAACAGGACAATAGCAAATCCCTAAAATTTTACCTCCCCTCTTATCCAAAATTTACATATATATATATATATAATTGTTGACAAGGTTCATTTAATTTTATTCAGCCTTCAATTAATAATAATATGAATTCATTTTATAATATATGTTGCATTTAATAATAAAATTTATGACCTCCATCCAAAAACCGTTACAATTTTTTTTTTCTTTTAATTTATTCCAAACAATTATCCACATATTTTTTACTATATTTTGGATTTGTAACGGTTGCATGCGATTACCATTTTTTATTTCTCTGTATTTGGAGAATATGGTTACGAGATAATGTTTAAACCTTTAAATTTGAATGATTAAAAATATTTTTTTAAATGTTGACTATTCAGAAATATTATGTATTGATATGCTAGAGATACAACGCAAAATACATATAAGAAATGTCATCTTTTGTAACAGAGATCTTTACACCAACCCACTCAAATCTAAAATTTTCATCCAAGATTGTACACTATATTAGTTGAACTTAATGAAAAATAATTATTCATTTTATTTTATATAATAAATATAGTGATGAATTTGGATACTTTTATGATGTTTATTTTGATAAACAATAAAATTTTTAAAATGTGATATTATTATTTAATTTAATTTATAATTATATACATACACATAGATTATAAATTATGATAATTTGAATTTCTATGCACATGCACAGAATCAAATACTAGTTCTCAACGAAATATAAACAAAACCCCTTCCCTACCCTCACCTCTTTTTCCTCTAACCAAACACTACCCTAAAGTTCAACAAATAAACCTAGGGCTAAGAACAAGTTCGCGATTTTTCGTCGTAGCTGTTCAATTGATCCTCTCAGGTAGGCAAATGGAAAAGAAATTGTTTTTCTCGTCGAATTATTGTTGGGTTATTTTTTGTAACTTGCTTAAATTGGTTTTGCTATTTGAATGTTTGCTTGTTACTTGGCTATTATGGTCGTAATCGAAGAAGCCATTGATGTGAATCTTCAGTTTATGCTGTATACAGATTTTTCTTAAGTTTGACAATGTTGAATTCAAATCACTTGTGAAATTTGTGGACCACATGCTATTGTTCTATCATTTTAATGGCGTTTTAGGATAAATTAAGCTTATTTTTCGTTTTTGGGTCTTTTGCATTCGAATTTCAAAGCAGGGATGTTACTTGTTTCCATTCTCGGCTGATCATTTTTATTTGCTTACTCTTTGTCCAGATGGTTTTAAGTTTCTAACCAAGGGGATTGCTTTAATAGGTTATAGTTTGTCTTTTGTTGAGTTTTTTTATGTTAGAGCTCAGATCACTTAGACTAGAGGGGTCATTTTAATTGTTTTCTTTATTAATAAATTCATTCGTGTTCTGACATTTGATGTAACGGGGTTCAGATACTGAATGATACAACAGAATGGCTGAGATAAAGTCATCCGGGAGACCAATTGATCAATTGCTGGAGAAGGTCCTGTGCATGAACATACTTTCTTCTGATTACTTCCGAGATCTCTTGGGATTGAAAACGTACCATGAAGTGATTGATGAGATTTATGTCACTGTCACACATGTCGAGCCATGGATGACTGGGAACTGCCGGGGACCATCAACCGCATATTGCCTTCTGTACAAATTCTTCACTATGAAGCTCACTGTCAAACAGATGCATGGCCTGTTGAATCACACAGATTCCCCTTACATAAGAGCAGTAAGTAGAGTATTGGCAAGATTATATTTCCTCATTAACTGTTGGGTTGCAAACTTGCACGTGATGTGTAAAATCCTTCTTTTGTTTTTCGAGTCATGATTGGCATTTGATAACACTGGTTCTTGGACCAGTTTAGCAATCCACTTAAACAAGGTCCAAATAGGCTCATTTAGGTTAACCAAAAATTAGAGTACATGTGAAGTGGAAAATTTGAAATAGGTACATATTGCATCATTGATTTTATGTTTGTTGATTCTTGTATTAGTTGAAATTTGCGTGACCCTTTTGTCAGTGCTCTTCTTAGGAGCTTCCCATTTCTATTATGCTCTATTATGATCATTTAAAAAACACTAATGTCTATTTTTGAATATGCTCTCTTACTTAAGGTTGAGGCCATGAAACACTTGTTCCTTGTTATGTCGTCAATTTTTCCAGTGCTTTCTCAAGCTTTACGTGTTAATGAACCCTTGGCTTGTTTCTTGTAGATTGGGTTTCTCTACTTAAGGTACGTTGCAGATCCGAAGACATTATGGAGTTGGTACGAACCATACCTGAAAGATGATGAGGTACGAAAAAGGTCTTTCTCTGGTTCTTTCTGTTTGTTTAGAATTGTTGTTATATGAACCGAAATCTTGAGATGATTGCGATTCCCAACTCTATGCGCACCTTTTCTGTAGCATCTTGAAGAGGAACGAAAAAATGTGTGATAAGAATAAAATCAAGTGACATAACTGGCCTACTTGCAACCTGGTTTTGGATATACAAGCTGGTGGAATATGCTTAACATTGCACTAAATAATGTTAGGTCTATGATTATCTTAGTGGCCCTCAGGAACCACGTTTTATTAGTTTATACTACATATTATATGTCTAAGATTTAAGATGTGGTATGATTCTCTGTGTCAATTAGCGAATAAGAAATGACTTATTAATAGGATTCATATGCATCTTTTGTTGGCTTTCTGCTATAAGTATAACTTATTTATCCATAATGACAATTTTCCATCCAGTCATTTCCTGTTGCCATGCTGTATAGAGTCAGTGATATATGGATCACATGTGGATGGAAATTACTTTTTATATGATTTTAGAATCTTATGATTTGTGTTTCTGATACCCTTTGATCGCTCAGGATGGGAAGATTTTTACAGTTCCTCGTGCATCAGCATGATTTCCGGTGCAGGTGAACTGCTTTTGTGTGATAACGGTGATTTTAGACAAAATCTAGTTATATTTGTAGTACATGTCTGAGCCCTTGCTCATTTTACAGTCATATGGTCTTCCTTCAAGTCTCTCAGTTCTCATGTTAGAGGCTTGAGGGATTTTGAGCAAGCTGATGCATAGTATTTTGTGCACCTTAGGAGGTTGTCCATGTTATGAGAATCTTTAGTAGTTTTTTTCCTCTTATAGTTACGCATATAACTTTCTTTCTTTATCATCAAACTTTTGCATATTAGTAAGACTTTTATTCCAGTAAGACCTTTTTTTACACATACTTTTTCAATTCAAATACAGGAATTTTCTCCCGGGTCGAATGGCAGAATGACTACAATGGGTGTGTATGTGCGTGATTTACTTCTTGGACAGGTCATCTACCCATCTACTCTATCATTATTATCATCATCATTATTATTATTATTTAAAAATAATGTTTGATGTGTGGCAGTACTATTTTGACACACTCTTCCCGCGCATTCCTGTGCCCGTCATGCGGACAATCGTCTCAAACCTTGAGAGCATGAAGCTGCCCACCAAGCACTGTGGGGTCACGGGCGAGACGACCCGCGGGTCGGATGAGACAGCCCGGCGTCCCCCTTCCGTTAAGGCTTCCCTCTCTGTCTCCTTCGGCCAGCGGGCCCCACATCGGGCGTCGACCCGGGACTCATCCCCTGTTAGGCGCACGGCTGCCCCATCCGAAAACGACTCGAGGCGGTCCCCCTACCACCATCGGGGCGATTTAGATAGAGAGAGGGGCCGGGATAGGGATCGGGAGAGGGAGAGGGAAATGGATAGAGGAGATAGAGACAGATACAGAAAGTATGATTATGATAGGCACGGGAGAGATAATTATCATGAGAGGAGGGATCGTGAGGAGCGCTATCGTGTGGGGTCCCACAGGAGCAGGAGCAGGAGCAGGAGCAGGAGTCGAAGCAGATATGATAGAGGTGAAGGTGAGAAGACCCGAGTGAGTCCATCTAGGAGTGGGGACAAGGATAGGAAGTCTGCCGCCAGCAATCTTGCCAAGCTTAAGGATTTATATGGCGACTTGAACGGGCAGAAGGAGGATAGGAGAGCAAACCAATCAGGTGGTACAGAGGAAGTTATCAGGCTTGGTGGCTCGACTTGGAGGTAGGAGATGGATTAGTTGGTTGACTTCGACATTAGTCACGATGTACTCTGATGGCCGGGAAATTGCCCTCTTATCCTTGTAATTTTAGTTATGTTTCATACAATTCTATGTTTCAAGCTTTTGATGATATTTGGGAATAACTATTGTTGCGAGGCCTTTTGTTGCAGTTATGGTTTTTATGGGAGTCGTCTGTAGTGGTTTGTGTACATTGCATGAGCTTCTTTGTTTGATCAAACACTACAGTGGTATGTTGCTGTCTCTATAGGTTCCTCTGTATGAATGAATCTTGATTGTTTTTTAGTTGACTTCTAGAAAATCTAGTATAATTCATGCACAACACTTAACAGTGATTTAATAAATCTTTGCAAAACGTATTCTTGCCAGTGTTCTAAAAATCGCTAGGCGTCAGCGCCTAGGCAGGCCTAGGCAGCGCCTAGTCGGGGCCTAGAAATCAATATTAAATACCTTATTTTTATTTATTTTAACTATCTACAAAATAAAATTATCTCAACTTATAATAAATCGACACTCCTAGGTCCAAATAATAAAATTAATATATTTTAAACAAAAAATGAGAACATAATAATGTAATTAGTATTAAAAAAAACTGAAAAATTACCGCCGAGCCCGCCTAGGTCCGCCTATGCCTGCCTAGGCGTTGCCTAATCGCCTGGCCGCCGAGTCCGCCTAGGAGCGCCTAGAGCCGCCTAGGCGCTTGACCAATTTTTTCTGTCGATTTGTACAAATCGGAGGCGCCCGGGCACCGCCTAGCGCCTAGGCGCCGCCTAGACGGCCGCCTAAGCCGATTTTTAGAACACTGATTTTTGCACACTGATTTTTACGAGCTCTTGCACAAGTGAGTGTTCATTTCAATAGAAATATGTTAAAGGTTGCAGTAATTAACTTATAAAATCAATTTTAATATTAATACCACATTTATTTGGTAAAATTAATTTTAAAAGAGTTTTTCGTATATCTCTTTGTATATAATTTCTGAATGTGAAACTCAATGGTAGACCAGCACGCTTTGTAATCTCATGTGACAAATTTTCAAACTTTGTTGTTTAGCTTATGTTGATTTTAATTTATTTCGAATTCAAAATAACAAGGCTTAAAATATTCAGGATATTTATGGTATTTTCTAAGAGTATTAATTATATCTTAATATCATTCGATGTTATACACATGGTTCATAAGATATAATTTTTCCCCGATCTTTCATTTTTGTTGTTATTACTATTTAATTTTAAAAATAATTTTCTTAACAAGTGTTCGTGTATACACACGTATACTACTATTCACAAACGTGATGAGAATTAAAGATGCACACACAATCTTTTGTTCATTTCTCTGTATATTCCATTCTTTTCCCCTTTCTCGGGAACAGAATTGAGCAGTTGATATCCTCCTCATCCGTTACACCCAGCCAATATCGGGAATCTTGTTACAACCATGGATATTTTTATGCATCTCCTCATCATGAACTCAACAGCAGCAATGGAGGTCGTCTTCCAGCCCAGCCGTGGCAGCCCTTTTCTCATGGAGCTCGGCTACTTCGACACGGTGCTCGAGATCAAGCACAAGATCGAAAAGGCCAAAGCCATCCCCACATCCAAACAGACCCTTATCTTCAACGGCGCCGTCCTCCACGACCACCTCAACGTCCACGACTCGGACATCCTCGACCGCTCCCGCATCCACCTCCTTCTTCCCCCGGACCCCAACCCCCCTCCGCCGACCTCCGCCGCCGCCGCCGCAGCCAGCAAGATCCAGCTCCTACTCCGGCTCCCGTCCTCCAAGGCTCGGGCCGCTCTCGAGGCGGATCCCTCCGAGACCGTCCTGGCCCTCAAGGCCCGGATCCACGACATGGAGGGCATCCCGCCCGGCCGGCTCGCGGTGGTCCATGCCGCCAGCGGGGCGGAGCTGCCCGACCACAGGCCCCTAGGGGAGTGCGGGCTGGCCGACGGCTCGGAGGTCGCCGTGGCCGTCCCGGCGAGGATGGGGATATTCGTGGTGACCAAGAGCGGGGGCGGGGAGAGGGTGCCGGTGGAGGTGGGGTCGACGGACAGCGTGGGAGAGCTGAGGCGGAAGCTGGAGAAGATGAGGGTCGACCTCCCGCCGGAGGGCTACTTCTTCATATACAAACAGAACGTGATGGAGGACGACCGGTCCTTCCGGTGGCACCAAGTCGGCCCGGGGGATGCCATTGAGATTTTCGGTGGGAGCGTGTCCGCCGGCTCATGAACTCCTCCTACCATATCTTAATCTAATATATTATTGGTTTATTCACTTTTCTCTTATTCAATTTATTTCTCTCCTTTACCTCTCTTGTGAGACTTGTGATAATGATATTTGTAAGTTTTTTTTTTTTAATCAGAACGATAGAGGACTTATATAAACTCAAACCACAAACAGTGTTCGAATACATCGACAAATACAAACAAGTCGAAAATAGAAAGACTGGGAAGACACACATACAAGCGGCCTAGAGCTCAATAAAACCAAGAGAAACCAAACGAAGAAAGTAACCTAACCACTGCATCAAATGCCTAGCTAGATGGACTAACTTCACATCAAAAGAAAAACATAAAAGAAAAGATAAATATAAAGAGTTTGCAATAAGAACAAAATACTCAGAGGATGATTGAATATAAATTTTTTTTGTTTTGTTTGGATTTTTTTGTTTGGTTTGGTTAGTTATGAAAAAGTTGGTATGGTTCGTTGTTAGTGGATATATTAAAATAATATTTAAAATTAAATAATTAAAGTTGATTTGATGTAAAGTAAGAGAAAGGAGATTTGAAGTGATGGTTAGTTAAAATTATGTGAGTGTATGAATAGTGAATTAAAGTGATGTGGTGTGTAAGAATGATTGATTTGATATTATCTAATTATATTGATAATATTAATGATAGTGGAGTTGAGTTAAAGTTGATTTAAAAAAGTGGTTGAGTTAAAAATGTTTGAATTTTTTTGAGATAATTTTGTATCCAAGCATGCTCTTAACAACTAATATATTTAATTATTTATTGCACGTGTTAGTTGTCTCTCACTCTCACCTTGTTAGTTGTTATATGGTACTTTGCCAAGTTGTGTAGCATTTATTGCCTCGTACAATAAGGCAGCCAAAACCACAAATATGTCCCCCCTCCCAAAAAAATAAAAAAAAATAAATTAAAAAAAAATTGAAACCAAAACAAACCATCACTACAAGAAAATAGAGTTCTAGTGAAGAATTTTATTGTCACTGTGTTGTCGCTATATCTACTGTCACTATATCTACAATTATTGTCACTATATCTACAACAATTGTAGATATAGTGACAATAATTGTAGATATAGTGACAACAACTGTAGATATACTGACAGTAGATATAGTGACAACATAGTGACAACAATCGTAGATATAGTGACAAAAAAATTCTTCACTAGAACAGTAGAACTCTATTTTTTTGTAGTGTTGTCGTTGAATTCGCACCTTTCATCCATTATCCTCCCGTTTTTAAAAAATTGCAAGTATATACCTCATGATTTTTTCAAATTTCCCTTTGAAAAAATGTAATAGTTTGTTTTGCACGTGAATCACATTGCTAGATCGATGCACAGTCTCTATAAATTATGGCTTCACATTAGTTTTCTCTATGACCCTCCCATACTAACGTACCCAAGCTCCATACATACCTTGTTTTCCACCATAGTAGGCCCCAACCCCTTTAAATCAATAGCCCAAAAATGTTAAGAGCTACGGCTTTCAAAGTGACCCGAAAAATCCCGGAGCTTCTCCGGCCAGCAAAGCCCACACCCCACGAATTCAAATCTCTTTCCGACATAGACGATCAAGAGGGCCTTCGTATCCAGATTCCTGTCATGCAGTTCTACCGTAAAAGCCCATCCATGGAAGGAAAGGACCCGGTAGGGTTTATTCGGGCAGCTGTCTCGAGGGCGTTGGATTACTATTACCCATTGGCCGGGCGGCTGAGAGAGGTCACCGGAAGGAAACTGGTGGTGGAGTGCACCGGCGAAGGAGTTTTGTTCATCGAGGCTGATGCTGACGTGTCGCTTGCGGAGTTTGGAGTCAGCCCTCAGCCGCCATTCAATTGCTTTGAAGAGCTGCTTTACGATGTCCCAGACTCTGGCGGCATCACCGGTTGTCCGTTGATACTAATTCAGGTTTGTATTTGTATGTTGTACCTCATGTCTTTTTTTTTTT